GGTGACACATATATATTAGCTTACACGGGCTTATGAGACCTGACATTAAACTATTTTTGGTTCACTTTTGGGCTACTTTCTTACTCACCCACACAGAACAATAAAGTGAATGAAAGTGTGTCTTCTTTTTTTTTTTTTTTGGATATGACCTCAACTCCCTGAGCCTAGGCTAGTGCTATTGTAAGCGCTGCATCATTTAATGACGTTCACAGATTTTTCTATCTTAAAAGTAGGTGCTTTTTTTGGCTGCAACAGACCCAGGACAAATTCTTCCAGAACCTCACCTCTGGACACTTCAATTTTCCTGCCTAAATGTATTAATGACCATTTTACTTCTATCTACTCCTGAGCTAATTTCTTCTCACTGGCTCTCACCATCAGATGTATTTATTGACATGGACCATATCCCCTCTCAGCTTTTGTTTTTTTTGGATTAAAAAAGCAAACTTGCCGTCTCCTTCTGCAAAACCAGTACTCTGTTTCTCCTAGCACTCAGACAGCTGACCTCTGTGTCTGTTTAATTAGGGTCCATCCTTCCCAGCTTCCCTGCTCCCCAACACCACAGCCCTGCAGGGTGACAGTAAGCTGCTAGTCCTCCTGTACCAACATCCTTCTCCCTGCTTCTTTCAAGGAGCTGCTCTTATTAAAAGTTATGGGTATCGAACAGCTAAATCTGTATCTCTTGGATTTCACACCACTTTAACTATGCCAGTGCTCAAGGTACCCCAGCTTTCCATGAAATGTCCCTCTCTCCCTGGACCAACAACATTTACCACTTCCGCTGTGTCTTTTAGGAATAGTCACACTCTCGTTGTGATTCTAAACAGGGTTAAAACAGATTAGTTTCAAGGGATCCTTTGAAAACCCACTGGCATTCTCCTCTCAGCACAGTGACTTCTCCTTTCAGCACAGCCCATCATCATTCCCATTCCCATCAGTTCCCAATCACTGTAATTAACAGGAACAGAAAAACACACAAAATGTGTCAGATCAAGTAGCCCAGTAGCCTCTCCCTACCAGGGGGCGGTAGCAGGCATATAACAGCCAGGAAAGCATACAGAAACTATACTGAAGGGTGTTGCTATTTCATATTACAGGTCTTGTTTAATTTTTCTGTTATGAATTTGCCCAAATATTTTTCAAATCCAGTTAAACCTTTTGGTATATAGAACATTTGATGTTAGTAAATCCCAGAGTTTAATTTGAGCTGACTTGCAGTGACGAGTTCAACCTTTGATGTTACTTCAGATATTTAATGAAAGAAGTCTAGTTTTAGTCCATCCAAAGCTTTCAGGACACTCATGCATCTGCCTTATTAACAGAAGACCACTACATTAGTCTAGTGTAACCTACTTTTGGTGCTATCATGTCATACATATTTTTTCATATTTGCTTTAGTAGCTTTGTACAGTATTGAGACTTGTACTAAAGAAGGAGACTGGCATGGAAGGATGAGAAGCACTGAAAATTTTGTCCATTATATTGATAGGTATTCCCCCTCTCACAGGATCACCCTGACTGGGTAGGAACAGATCCTAGATTTCTTATATCTTTATGAGGACTCCAGCACAGAGACTGGCTGAAGCCAGGAGGGTCAGCTAAGCCAGGTTCATTTCTGCCTTGTCAACAATGCAGTTTGGCTTTTTTAAACTGCATGCCCCCATCACCCATTTTGCCATTGCCCTTCTACCTCCTTCACTGAAATCTAACACAAACCAAATATTTAATCCTGGAACCATGTTTATACTTATTTTCTTTTCTATCCTACCGACCTGTATGTACATGTAAAAGAACCTTTTACTTCACATGCTTTGGAGTTTGCAACTAAGCTTGAACAGTTGGCAAACCCTCCCTGTTCCTACACTTCCTGACATATTAGACTTTTTCCATCCCCAAAGACTTTTTGCTTGTTCCTAAAAGCCTTTCTGAAGCAGTTATTTGTCCAAAGAAATACTGAGACCTTCCTACATGTTTTCTTCTCACTTGCTGGGACTACTGACATTGTTTAGGCAGGAGAACCTTGGGTTTCCGTAAGTCTCCGGATCCCCTCCAGGGTTACATCCAGGAGCTTTCCCCTGCCCAGGGACTCCCTTACCTATCACATTTTCAAATAGAAGAGTTGGAGCTGTCCTGGTTACTGCAATGGCAGCAACTCGCAGCCACCTCTAGGAAATTCTTGGGGACAGAATTCATGCACTCTTTTTTTCCCCCTAAATCAAATAATTATGTAGCTGTTGTATCTATGACTCCCTAAGCCCTTCTGATTAGCAGCAATTGTTCTGCAAGTAGATCTGGTTATCTAAAGTGTCCTGTAACAATAAACCCAACCGGAAATGGTATCTTTTTAATATGAAAAACCTCCTTCATAGGCAAATTTAACCCTTGAATCCTCAGCATACTCTTAGTGCTACCCTGACAGAACTTTCCAGAATAAAATGTAACTTTGATTAGTTTGCAATTGGCAGAAACCTAAAGTGCTGAATTTAGCTTTTCCTGTTTCCCTGATGAAAGGGAAACTTACCTTCACCCATGAGAATCCAAAAATGTACGGATTATTTCAAATTTCATTACATGCCACTGAGTAGAAAGCTTACTTTGCTCCTTATAATTTTGACAACAGCACTACCTAAACTGTGAGTGTTCAAGTGGCTTCAAAAAAAGACTTAAGACTGAGGAGGGCAGAAGAGATTCAACACATTTCAAGGCCAATCATTTTTTTCCAGTATGCTATCACATGAGCATTAAAAAAAAACCCAACACCATGAAAAGAACAGATGAGGCAGCACTCATCTGAAGATTATTACTCTCAGACTCAGGTCAAATTTGCACCTCGCTTCCATCAAGCCTTTTCTTTTTTTCCCCCTCATGTTTTCTACTTGCATGCTTGCCAATGAAGTGCAAAAGGTTAACATTTACAGTGATTTTTATTGTACCAACTTTTAAATAATTACAGATGTAGTCAGAAGCTTTGTACTTCTATGTTTATTGTTCAGCCTACAACACAGATGCAACAATGTCCCAATACAACCACTGAAAGCACAGAACTACTATGTTTCAGGAGGTTTTTACAGGCTGTCACTCAGTTTCTTTATTCTTTCCTCAGTTTTGCAATGAGAGTGGTTGAAATGACCACAGACAAAGCAGGACAGCGCTAAGCTGCCTTCCTCAACAGATCCAGCTGGGTACCTATGTTTCACCATCATCCCTAAATTACTTTAAAATAAAATAAAATTTAAAAAAAATTTCAAATCCAGCAAGTTTCCTGTTACCAGAAAAATGCCATCTAGCCCTGTCCCCCCCCCCCCCCACCTCCCACTGATATTAAAGAAGTATACAAAAAAAGTCCTACCCAACAGGATGGGACTACAGCTTCAAAAAAAATTCAATAATTTAAATTTAATTTTAGATCTACAAGTGCTGCCAAGCACCACTTTATTTGTCAACAAAATATTTTGATTATTTGGCAGAACAAAGCAAGCTCCCTCCCTGCTTTCTCCACAGACATATTTGGCACCAGTTAATTTGTATGTCTTTAGACATATGTCAAGTCTGAAGCTGTTTCAGGCTTTAACCCTGCAGAACTTCTCTCTTTAAAGTACTTGTTTTTCTTAAAGCAGTAACAGCAGCAAGCTAAAGCTAAGAAGGGACTCGATCCTGCAACGAAATGGTTAAAAATCAGACTCTGCTGATGTGTGCTTCTCTGATCCATTACATTTCTCGCAAGCTGAGCTAAGAGCTGAGCACCAAGTATCAACTGTAATATGATCCAAGAGTTTATGGAAAAAATAACTGCACATACCAAGCGTGCACATTTAATAAGATTTTGTTTCCATTAAAATATTCAAGAAACATGATTTTTAAGATCTGCTTCTCTCTTCCACCGATTTTTAACGTTTCTCCTCCCCCTCCCCTAAATACACACCTCCTTTCCAAAAACCAAACCCTTAAAGAAAAAAAAAAAAAAAAAGGAAGAAAGAAAAAAAGCAGTCCTACTGCAGGGAAGAGAGGCTTGAAAAACAACTTTGATTGGCACTTGGCCTGACCCACAGAGGAAGAAAAACAGTTTTTGGACAAAGAGCGCAAATATTTGAGCTCATTGACTTACAGGCTTTCTTAGCAATTGCAAGAACCAACCTGGAGCAAAATGTGTTGGGAGAGATTGAATTAAAATAAAACCAAAACCGGCATCGCGTTCATCTTGGGCGCTCGGGGACTCGGCGCGTTTGAACAGCTCAGCAATTTTAATTCATTTGCACTGGACAAACAAAAAGCACCTCCACTAATGCTCCCCGTGAGGCAGATGTCGGGAGCAGGAGGTGCAGCCATCCTACCCCTCCGGGGGCACGGGGGGTCCGCAGGGAAGCGGCTGGGCACTGCAGGGATGGGGGCTTAGCGGACTGGGGGGGCGGGGGGTTCTTCGGCGCTTTTATATTTTTTAAGGCTCTTAAGCTCGGAGCCTCCCCCACTTGACGGAGATCGTGGTGGTGAATTCCACCGTTGAAATACGTGGATAATAAACTTTCCAAGCGCGGCTGGGCTCCATGACCCACACCCCCACCCCCAGCCTTCGGGGAGGCTGCGCGCCCTCCAACCCCTCGGCATGGGGGGGGCAGCCCGGGGCGGGGGCCGGTGACAGGCGACCCGAGGGGGACGGGGGCGATGGGGGCCCGGACCTGGTACCCCTGGGCACTCCCTGGGGCTACATCCCCCTCGCCCCTCCGCTGCCCCCCACCGCACGCTCCCCGGGCACTCACCTCCCGGCAGAGCTCCCAGCCCACTGGGGAGCTGCCCCCCAGCTCTCCCACTGCCCTCCTCCATCCCCCCGCCGCAACGCTGCCCTACGGCCCGTTTCTCTTCACGCCACTGTCGCTGTCCGTGTGTCCCCTCTCCCCCCCAGTCAAGTCTCTGTCCCACCGCCGCCCGCTCCACCGATCCCTCCTGGAAGCCTCTCCCGCAGTCCTCGCAGCTCCCGCCGCCTCTCAGCGGGCGCCCTCCGGTACCTGTCTCGGCACCTTCCGGCAATTGCCGCACACCCGGTATTGCCCGGCGGCGGCGGCGGCGGCGCTGCCCACGGGCCCGGAGCCAAGGCGGTTCATGGTGGCGGCGGTGGCGGCGAGGGCCGGGCGGGACGGGAGGCGCAGGACGGCTCCTGCTCCGCGGCGCTCAGCTGCCCGCGCCGCCGGCCGCCCCCATCCCCGGCCGCGGCCCCAGCGCCCGCTCCGCGCCACCGCCCCCCGCGCACACCCCCGCGGGCCCCACCAATCCGCAACGCCCGCCCCGCCCAGCGCCAACCCCGCCGGCCAATCACGACGGGTCGCCCGTCGCTGGCCAATGGGCAGCGCCCTGCCCGGCTCCCATCTCCGGGCAGCCTGCGAGAGGGGGCGGGGTCAAGGGCGGGGCCTCAGCTGCCGAGGGGCGGGGCCGGCCTCGTCTCTGGGCAGCCTTGGGGAGAGCGGGGCGGGGCCGGCGCCTCGGCGCGTGTCTTCCCCTGGCCAATAGTGTGGGCACTATGCAAACGAGGCGGGGGAGGCCCCGCCCCCAGGGCAGGGGCCTCGGTGGCGGCGGCAGCGGTTCCCTGGGAGTCGGTCCCGCCGCTCCCGCTCCTTCCGGGAGGGTCCCCAGGGATCCTCAGCCTGGGGTCAGCTTACCGCCTCGCCTGCCTGCCCGCCCACCTGCCTGCCGGCCCCGGGGCCAGATCCAGTGCCGGGCCATCGCCACCCCCGGGCGGGGGGCTGCCTGTGCGCGGGGCGGGCTGCGCTCCCGGGGCGGCGGGCTGGACATGCAGGGACACGACTGCCCTGCTGCCAGGCTGAGCAGGATGAGGTGTTTGCTCTAGGGCGCATGCGAGTGTGTGTGTGTGTGTGTGTGTGTGTGTGTGTGTGTGTGTGTGTGTG